CAATTCAATTCAATTCAATTAGGTAGAGTAGAATTTATGCAAAAGTCTAGGAGCCCTAACGTTGGACTTATCGACCCATTCAGCTTGGGAGGGGGGAAAATGTTTCCAGGAGACTAGATATTGAATTCAATTTCTACATTTTCTAGAGTCCAAAATCTCCTTAATCTCAAAATGTTGCTCTCCTTCAATGAGAAGGGGCAGGTGGTGTAGGTAGAGGAACCCGCAAAGAGGAAGTGTGTTCTGGCTTCACAAGGTTTACATGGAACACCGGGTAAACACTGTTAAGATACTTAGGTAGTTCCAATCGCACAGACACAGGATTAATAATTTTCACAATGGGAAACGGCCCGACATACTTAGGACCCAGTTTCTTAGACTTTTGGGTGGTTTGGAGAAACTTGGTAGACAAAAACACACGATCTCCAACTTTGTAGTCTCTCTGTTTTGTTCTCTACTTGTCCGCCTGTTTCTTGTGTGCTCGATGAGCAGCGTCCAACGCCTTGTGGGTCAAAGGCCAGATTTGCTGGAGCTGGTCACTCCATTCAGAGAGGGACAGAACGTGTGGTTTTTCCCGGGGCACTTCCAGAATAGGCACAAAATCATGGCCAAACACTATTTTAAAAGGGGTAAACCAGTGCTGCTGTGCACAGAGTTGTTGTAAGCCACTTCAGCATGTGGTAACAACTCAACCCAATTATCCTGCTAGTAATTAATGAAACATTGGAGGTACTTTTCCAAAACAGAATTAGTCCATTCACAAGCCCCGTTAGTTTGAGGATGATGGGTGGAGCTTAGCCCCTGGGCAGAGCCAATCAACTTCAAAAACTCCTTCCAGAATAGGGAGGTGAATTGGAACCCCCTATCCAAAATTATGCATTCCGGCACGCCATGTAGATGGTACACATGCGTAATAAATAACTTAGCCAAGGATTTAGCTGACGGGATCTTGGAACAAGGAACAAAGTGAACCTGTTTGGAAAACAGGTCCGTAACGACCCAAATCACGGTATTTCTTTGACTTTCTGGTAATTCAACAATGAAATCCATTGATATCTCTTTCCACGGAGCTTCAGGACGGGCCACACCTTGGAGCAGGCCCTGGGGTTTTCCTGGTGGGTGCTTTGAGGCAGCACATGTGGGGCAACTGGCAACATAGGACTCAATGTCTTTTTTCAATGAAGGCCACCAAAATTGCCTTTTAATGAGATGTAGAGTCTTCACTAACCCAAAATGGCCTTCCATCCTTGAATCATGGGCCCGCTGTAGAACCAAAGTCCTCATGCTAGCAGGAACATACACTTTAGCTCCTACCGAAGCCAGACCATCTTTTATGGTACATTCGTTTGAATGTTGTTTAAACCAGTCATCGGACTCAAGGCCGTCCTTGAGTTTGCAGATGAGGTCCGTTGTGACCTCGAAGTTAGAGTTGCTCTGGCTTCTGGTAACCACCGGAGCAGCAAGACTCTTCGCTGGAATGACTGGGTGAACCACATTAAGCTTTGAGCTGTTGTATTGTGGGAGTAAATATATGGATAAAGCATCCGCCAGGAAGTTCTCCCCCCCCCCCCCCGGGATGTACTTCAGAGTGAAATTGAACCTGTTGAAAAGTTGTGCCCACCTCATCTGTTTAGGAGATTTTTAGGAGGGTTTTTAATGCCTCCAAATTCTTGTGATCAGTCCATACTTCAAAAGGGTGTTTATCCCCCTCCGGGAAATATCGCCGGGTCATCAAGGCCCACCTTTACCCAATTGGGCCAACATAGCCTTCATTAAAGGTAGTGGATAGACATTCTGAATACACACAGCATTCAGATTTTTGTAATTAACACAGAGACGAAAGGAGCCATCTTTCTTTTCCCTAAACAACACTGGAGCAGCCGCTCGGGGCCTAGCAGGTTCAATAAAACCCCTTTGCAAATTTTTGTCAATAAACTTCCTTAATTCATCCATTTCACAAGGGGTAATCATAGATATCAATATGTGACCCAACCCTCTCCCCCTGGTAACCCCATCCTATAGTCCAATCTGCACACCCCACAGGTGTCATGTGGGAGACCTCTTCAAAAAGCATCATCAGGTTGGTATATTGGGCAGTTGGCCTTGGCAGCAAATCCTCTATCTGCAGCATGCGGAGTAGATGGTGAGAACAACTCCCTTTTAACAGTCACTCCTGCACTGAATACTTCCCCACCCCAAAACCATGTCCCCCTCCCCATTTCAATGGCAGCCAAAAGGGTCACACTTGGCCAATAAAAATACCATTCTATTCTATTTTTTGTTGAAACTTTGATCTTCACTGTTGACAAAAAATAATGTTAGAAGCTTGGCAAAAAGGCTAATTCACACAGGCCAGCTTGCAAGTTTTGATTAAGGTTATCTTACAATAAAGATACAGCCAGGATTCCTGATTGTGCTTCTTGTCTGGAGTACCTCACAATAATTAAATTTGCAAGTTGGAAAGCACACCTCTTCCCCCTCATGTTTAAAAATCCAAGAAACTAGGGAGAGCCTCTTCTGAGATTTGGTCCCCATTTGTTCCGGAAGTTCATCTGCCTCTTAAATCACTATTGCCTAGTCTGCAGCACTTCCTCCTGTCTCCCAACCCATATACCATGATTACACCCAAAGAACAGCATTATTTCTTCTAAATCAAGTTTATAATATTGAAGATACATTTTTCAGATTAGCCAGTATAACTTTTTTCTTCGTGTGACTGTTTTAAACCACGTAGCCTACGAATTTCATCTGGATCTTTCTGGTGTCGTCGGTCTCTTTTTGGAGAGAATGACTTTGCCTGGAGTGATGGGGAAACCTTCTCTCGATCTAGTCACTCTCCTGGCGGCCTTTCACGGATATTTTAAAACTTGAAGGGAATAGTGTGACACCCAAGTTAGGTGTGAAATTGGGTGCCTGGGATTTATCTGGCCAAGAGAGCTGGAAATTTCTCAGGATGCTGGTGAGGAAGAGGAAGAGCTCCATCCGAGCCAGATTTTCTCCTAAGCAAACCCTTGGTCCTGAAAACCAAAGACAAGATCAAAGGTCAATGCTATTCATGTAGAGAGGCAAACACTTTTATGATAAAACAGCATTCCTGAAACACAGAGTTTGTGGCTGTGGAATGTCATTTGAAACTGACTAGTTCCCTGAGATTTAATGGGCCTCTGTGTTTGTGTGTGTGTCTGCATATTTGTGTTGTGTGTGAGAGGGGGGAGAATAGGAAAGCAAAACATGCGTTTCCTGGCTCATGAATTGGCATATTTTCGGGTTTATCTTGTTTTTTTAAAAAATTCCAGTTTTTTTAATTTTATAACATAAACAATTCCATTTTTAATTCAACAATGTTGTTGTTTGGGTGCAAATACTTTTAGGAAATAGTAATCAAAATATTTACAACAGTGTTCATTAAATTAGTATTGATTATAATAGTATTAATAATGATGATGATGCTTACTTAACCATTTTAACATACCTCCTTATTAATCCTTTCCTTCTCTTTCCCTGTTTCTAACTCCTGTTTTTGTCAGCTAATCATTTGATAAAATGAGTCCCAGATCAAAAGATATTCAGTTTCTTCCTTTTCCTTAATTGTAAGTGTTAGACCTGTGATGGTGAACCTACAGCACAAGCGCCCGGGGGGGGGGGGAGATGTCACACAGAGCCCTCTCTGTCGGCACAAGTGCCGTCGCCAGCTGCTCTTTTGGTTTCTGGCATGCTGGCCAGCTAGTCTTCACGGAGGTTGGAGTGCCGGAAAATGGCTGGAAAACAGCCCAAAAATGCCCCCAAACCAGGCCGTTTTTCAGGGCTTTGGGGAGTTGTTTTCCAGGCCATTTTCTGGCTGTTTTCCAGGCCATTTTTGGGCTGTTTTTCTTTGCAGGCACCCAAGCAACCAGAGGTCCAAAAAACTACCTGAAAGTGCCCCCCAAAACAGCTCAAACTTGCCAAAAAACAGCTGGACTGCCCAGCTGGTGTTTGGGTTTTTGGTATTCCGGTGTGCATGCGCATGCACATCCATTCTGGTTTGGGCATTTGGTGCCAAAAAGGTTCACTATCACTGTGTTAGACCATCCATTTCTGCACATTATAATCTTTTTTAAATAATCTGTTGGGATTTCTTCACTTTTCCATTGTTTTGCAAATGCAATTTATCTTGTTCAGACAGAGAACCTACAACAATGCTTCCAAAAAAATTGGCGAATATATCCCAAAAGTGAATGTGCTCTTCTGCTGCTCCCCATTGGCTACATTCAGAGTTTTCTCCATCCAAGGATGCACTGAAGCAGAAGGTTTTAGTAGACAGGGGTTGAGTCCACAGGGCTGTCTAATTCCTGGTTCTGTGTGATGTGCAGCCTTTGCCATTTAAAGTAAAACACACACACACACACACACACACACACACACACACACACACACACACACAC